AAGTGGCGACAGTTTCGCAGATCACAGCACCCCAGGGATGGCGAGGTCTAGTTTGAATCTGGGTAAGGCGTCACTCCGCTGGACCTCCCAGCAGCCTTAGAAAGCGGCGACTGTTTCGCAAATCGCAGGCCCCAAGGGATGGCGAGGTCTAATTTGAATTTGGGTAGGACGTCACTCCGCTGGACCGACCCCCCAGCAGCCCTCGAAAGTGGCGACAGCTCCGCAGATCGCAGCTCCCCAGGGATGGCAAGGTCGAATTTGAATCTGCGTGGGACGTCACTCCGCTGGACCCCCAGCAGCCCTCGAAAGTGGCGACAGTTTGGAAGATCGCAGCCCCCCAGGGATGGCAAGGTCTAGTTTGAATCTGCGTGGGACATCACTCCGCTGGACCCCCAGCAGCCTTCGAAAGTGGCCACAGTTTGGAAGATCGCAGCCCCCAAGGGATAGCGAGGTCTACTTTGAATCAACGTAGGACGTCACCCCGCTAGACCCCCCAGCAGCCCCCGAAAGTGGTCACAGTTTCGCAGATCGCAGCCCCCCCCGTGATGGCGAGGTCTAATTTGAATATGCGTGGGACGTCATTCCGTTGGACCCCCCAGCAGCCCTCGAAAGTGTCGACTATTTTGCAGACCGCAGCCGCCCAAGGACGGCGAGGTTCAAATTGAATCTGGGTAAAAATGCACTCCGCTGGACCCCCCAGCAGCCATCGAAAGTGGCGACAGTTTCGCAGATCGCAGCCCCCCTCGGATGGCGAGATAGTAGAGATGGTAGAAGGCAGGTAGGAGGGATGAGAGGAGAAGGGAGGCGGGAGGAGGAATGAGGTAGAAACCTCAGTGTTTTATTCAAAACGAGTACCCAACGCAGGAGGGTTGGGAACAAATTAGGTGGCAAGTCCACTGAGTGCGCTGGAAGGAAGCAAGGGGGGGACGGTTTCGAATACATCTCTACCCCATCAGATGTCGGGGGGGAGTTCGAAAATCCTCCCTCTCCTCTCCAGAGTGAGAATCGGGGGGAGGGTCAGCTATCGCCCTCATGTGTCAGCGCCCCTTCCCCAGCGCTGGCAAAGGGCGACGACGACGCCGACGACGATGAAAACAAGAACAGGACCACGAGCACGACAACGATGCCAAGTACAACAACGAACACGTGTCCCGCCCGCCCGACCGATCGAGCTGCCGGCAAAGGACGATGACGAAAGGCGTTGACGACGACGTGTCCTCACGACGACGACGACGACGACAGATGCCGACGACGTCGTGTCCTCACGACAACGAAGACGTGGCCCACCTGCCCGCCCATCTGCTCACGACAGCGACGTGTCCCGCCTGACCGCCCGATCGACCGTCTCGCCAGCACGGGGGAGCCCCTTCGAAGAATTCAGAATACCTACCGGGCAGCCCTTGGCATTCTACCACGCCTCAATGTGTCAGGGGGCACGGTGGCTGATTGCATCAATATAGCGATGCCATAAGCTATGGCTTGAATGTTCGTTCGCATTGCATTTGGATTTGCATTCGTACTTGCACTTGCAGTGTAAATGCATTCCCGCTCTTGTCTCGTCCGCATCCGATCGGGGTGGATCATCGCTCCCTTGCGTCAGGGCCGATCGGCACATGAGGCTTCAATGGAACGTCCAGCGCCCGTGGCCGCGTCTCCTATTCTGTTTACCCTCCACCCCTATCCTCCCTTCTTCCCTCTCCTGCTCGCGCTTCTGGTCCTCCTTAAGAGGTAAGATTGTCTCGGGGATCGCAATTCATACCTTCGCGCTTGTGCACAATGACTCTATAAGGCTTACGCCGCATCCGCCGACCCCTTAACCAAGATCAAGGTTTTGATGGTGCATTTCGGTGTTTGGAGGCTTCTTGGGGCGGAAGGCTCGAATTGTCGGTTTGGGATTCCCCTTTTGGGTCCGTGTTGGGGCTGGCTTGGAGGCTTCTTTGGCTAGTCATGGGGCCTCTTGGGCCGTTTTGGCAGTTTTTTTGGCCGTCTGGAGGTCTCTTGGGCCGTCTTAGAGCCTTCTTGGGTTTTTTTGTGTTGGCCCGTCTTGGGCGCTTCGGTACGATGCTGGCTGTTGCCGCCGTGTTTTGGCAATGCGCGTCGAAAGCGCGGCGCGTTTAGCGGGGTTGGCTGCTGTCGCCTGTGTGTTGGTGGCGTTTTGTGCTGCAGTCGTTTTCGCGTTAGTGCTGGCCGCGGTCGCACTGTTCGTCGTCGTAAGGGTGCCAGGAGGCGTAGACGGAGCGGCGCCGTCAGCCGCCGCCGTCGTGCCGGATCTGCCCCCAGCCCGCGGCTGCGATTTCCGAAGCCGGCACGATTCGAAGCTACACGCGACCGCATGTTTCAGAATCGTGCCGCGCCGCGTTCCAACCGAAGCGAAAGGAGGTAAGCGGCGACGGAATCTTTTAACCTGTGGCGCACGTGGGTGTTTGCAGGGTTGGGGTGCGTCGGAAATTCCGTTGCGCTGTGTCGGTGCAGGCTGATGTGTTATGGTAAGGGAGCTCGCCGCGTAGGCCGGGCGCGGAACACTCGATCGCGGCAGTCGCCAAGTTTCGGCATGAGCTGCCGGGCGTGTGGCAAGCGCTCGATTTCGGTAGCGGACGTAGCCGTCGCATCGGCAGTGGAGCGCTGCGCATCGGCGCAACAGACACTTGCGAGTGGCACGAGCCGGTCGAGGGGGCAGACGCGCCAGAAAAGGTGCACAGAATGGACGGGACGCGGTGATTTCACAGTCGGGACCGTGGGCGGCCTCACGTTGCGAGCCGCGGTCTTTTGGATGGCATACGTGGCATGTGCCCCCGCGCTCGCGAACCCAGTGCTCGCGTCCGACGATGATGCGCTGGGCGCCTATGAGAAGAAGTGTTTGAAAGTAGTGGTGGCGACACTTTGCCGAGGGCGAGCGCGGAGAGAAGCGACGCGCGTCTTTGCACGAGAGTGCCAGAGTGACGAGGGATTTGGAGAAGGCGGCGCGGGCTCCGCGGGGAGGGAGGACGTGGCCGCCGTGGACCGGCGGCTGCACGAACAGCATGCGTTTGCGTGGGTGCATCAGGCCGAGGCCCCTTGCGATCTCATGCGGGATGCGGCGCGACGTCGATGGAGACTGTGCGGGCTCTTGTTCGGGTGCGATCGCGTGGCTTCCAGCAGGGCGCGTTGTTCGAGCGCGCCGCGGATTGGGGGCCCTCGCGGGTCTCGCAGCGCCCGGGGGCGCGGGGGATGCCCCGCGGGGGGCCACGCGGGGGCGTTCGATGGCGCGGGGACTGAGCGAGAGAACGCCGCGTGCAGGCGAGCACGCGCTGCGCGATCGGCGCGAGCGCGAGCATCTCGGCAGCGCCATATGCAACGCGGACATGGACTTCAGTTCGGCGCCCGGCCCAGAGCGCGAGGCGATAAGAACGGCGGAGGCCATGGCCGCGGACGCCGTGGCCGCGAAAGTCCCGAACGAGAGCGCCACGTCGCATCTCGCGCGCCCGCCCCCGTCGGGGGCGGATTTCGGAGAGCAGCCACGTGGCAAGCCACCGCTGGAGATGCGCTTGGAGGGCGCGTGGAAGCGCGATCGTCCGCGCATCAAAGGTACGCCGAATATCGGAAACACACGTTCCGCGAACGCCGTCGCCCTGGTGTTGCTGCGACTCGGGCAGGTTCGGCAAGCAGCGCTGCGCCGCGGGGAAACGCGCGGCGCTCGGTCGGCGACGCGGCGCGGCGCGCGCGCTGGGCTAACGGGCAGCCCCGATGAAGGCAATTGTTGGTGAGCCCCAACCATCAAGAAATATCAAATGCCAGCAGTGACAGCGGCGCGAAGCGGTCTAGCACGGGTGCGTCAACGATATCCGAGGAGATTGCCAGTGCGACGCGAGCGAGGTCGGGCGTGCCCTGGTGCAAACATTCACTCTCGCGGAGTCGGTTGCGTCGAGTGGAATGGCAGCGTGACCGCCTCGGGACTCGCTCGTGGACGAGTGCGCACTGGGGCGCGCAGTTCGTCAGAGACGGCACTCCGCGGGACGCGGTTGGGCATCGGACTTGCATGGGCGAGAACGTTCCATGACAATTCAGTTGCGGGAGCACGCGGAATACGCAGAGCCATTGTGCCTCGGCGCGTTGGTCGGTCTGCAGGCGCACGCCGCGCGGCACGGTTTGCCGTGTCCTCACCTGCCAACATTGCCGCATGGCGATGTGCAGCGCGGTTGCCAGGGGCCGTCGCAACCACGCGACATCCCGGCAGTCTTGCCACCGCCGTTTCTGAATGCATTTCTCAGCAGAAGGGTTCATAGCATCGGCAGGGCGAGCGCTCGCGGGAGGACCCCCCAAGAGATCGGTTGGCCAGGCACCGGTAACAGAAAGTGCCGGCTCCAGGGCGCAGTCTGCCACCTGGACCGTCGAAACCATTGGGTCGTGCACTTTGACTGTCCCGGGGTAGGTGTTGTCAGATTCAACGACGACAGGGTCGATCGAGTGAGGTTCGCGGCGTTCGCTGGCTGTGATACGAACAAGGTGGGCGTGGCCCGCGTTGCGTTTGCGCGTGATGCGGCAGGTGGGGCGTCGTCTGCAGGCAGCGCAGGCGAGGCGCAATTGGCCAGCAGCGCCGCCTGCACAGAGGCGAGGCGCGAACGCTGAAGGCGAGGCAACGCGAGTCGCGGGGGGCGCGAGGGTGGAACGGGACTCAAGTGGAGTTGATAGCGTTGATTCGACGATGAAGAAGGCGCGGGTCGATAACCACCAGGGATCGGCCGCGTTTCGGGGTTTCGCGCTGAGGTGTGAGGGCTGCAGGGGGCGAGCGGTTGGCGGCGAGGGAGAATGCGAGGTGACCTTTCCCGTGCCAGATCGGGCGCCAAGAACTTCGTTTCGCGGGAACTCGTGGATGCTGGCGGACGTGGAGATTCGACAGACGGTGGCTCGGGCGCGCCTGCACCTCCGCCAATCGCAATGGAGCGCGGGGCAGAAAAAGCCGAGGCGCACAAACGGCGGCGGCGCGAAACGAGCGCCGGCGCCATCGGCGCGGCGTCGAGCAGGAAGGCTTTGGTTGCTGCGCGGAGTGGCGGAGAGCGCAGGGACGGGGCTGGGCGCGCTGGCGAATGCGCAGAAGGCGCGATCGGAGCGGCAGTCGGCGGCGACGGAGAAGCGGCTGAGGAGGAGGGAGAGGGCAAGACACAGACGCAGAGAGCAGGATACGAAAAATAACGGCAAAGGCCAAGAGCGGAGTTTTTGCGGGGAGACAGAAACTGGGGCCGGTTCGGGCTCGATTGACGTCGACGGAGCGCCGCATAGGAAACGAGCCCCCACTGGAGACGTCGGCGGCAGCGACGACGGTACCCCCGCGGCGGCCGCTATGCTGAGGGCGTTCTACCACGTCGGCATAGACGTGCCATCGAAAGATCCGCGGCGGGCTCGAGAACTCCTCGCGGCAGCTGCTGCGGCCAGTGTGCGGCGCCACCCGACCGCGCCGGCGGACCCAGAAGATCGCGCGCAACCGTGGTCGCGAGCATTGGCCGAGGACGCGGCCGAGGAGTTGCCAGCTGTGCACTGTGCGCGCGGGGGGGGGGGGGGCATCTGGCAGTCGGGGGACGTAAAGAAGTTGTGCGAGCATGTTCGCGAGGTGCGCGGTGACTTCGCGCTGCCCATCGCCGAGTTGGTTCATCCGCCTGACAACGGTGAGAATCTCCGAGTCGCGGCTGCGTACCATGAGATCGTTGCATATGCCGTTCGGGGCGGGGCTCCGCTGTCGGCACATCCCCCACGCAAACGGAGTTTGACCATGTGCGCGAAAGCGACGCAGCAGAAAATCACCGCGTCGCCGATCTGTTTTGCGCGCGCGTGCACGCATCTTTGGGTGGAAAGCCGACGAGGGGACCAAATGCCTTGGGGGCAGCCGCTTCATGCAGCCGTAGAGCGTAGTGGACCCCAGCGTGGTGAGTCATTTTGGCGGCTGGACCACGTCGGACGCGCAACTGCGGTTCAGCGTCGACGCATACCTGCGGGACTACCAGTCAGAACCAGGGAACGGAGTTTTGGACCTTGACAGAGATGCATGGGGAGGGGGGGATTGCGACGATTGGTTCGTGGCAGACCCGACGCCACGCGGCGAAGTGCAAATTCTGCGCCGTCCTGAAGATCAGCGGCGCAACAGAGGTTGCCAGGAGAAGGGGGCGGCATGTCCGGAAAGCAGAGCGCCTCTGCGCTCGGAATGCAAGATAGAGGCGGACAGTCCGCATCGGTGGCGAAGCACTGCGGCCCCGACAGTTCCGCGCAGCAGTCTTGCGAATGACACGATGGCGCCCTACGCACCAGATCGCACGTGCACAGAAGGCATTGCAGTGAGGGAGATGATCAGCTGCAGCCCTTGCACCACGTCGATGATTTGATTGTCGTTGGAGGTGAAGTTTCAGATCGGCCGAGAAAATAAGGGCAAATATCACCCGTTTCACAGCGGGCGTCTGGCAGCGCGAGGGAATGCCACGAGCTTCACGTCACCGTGGCAGGGGATATTGCAGGAGCTCCGCCAGTTGGAGAAGGAAGGGCGGCAGGGGAGCGAGTCGGCGCTGCCAGTCGTGGGGGGCAAGCTGGGATCGGTGGCGCAGATCCATCTGGATGTCAACGACGCCACTACAACGGACAACCCGCCGCGTTTCATTCATCAAGCGAACGCGCGGCGCGAGGTCGTGAAGCTTCACACCACTATGAAGTAGCGCGGACACAGGGCCTCCGCGAACGTCAACGTGGACGCCATGGAAAGAAAGGCCGAGCAGTTGCCGAGAGATGACGCGCCGCCAGACATTGTCCGACTGCTACCACGTGGCACGACGCTGGACAAGCTGATGGCCGCGCGATGGGGCGCGAGATTATGCGGGGGCGGCTGCGCGCGACATGGACTTGCGCGCGCCGAGTGCCGCCATGATGGAGATGTTGTCGGCGGACGAAGTGGGCGCGAACAAGTTGAGACAGGGCGCGCTGGAGCATGCATCTGGGAGATCGCCCGCGCAGCGCGGAAGTCAAGGACCAGGCGGGGCGACGGCCGTCCAGGAGGGCTCATTCGCCAGAGAGGCGCACAGTTTTGCGCTGCGTCTTGCAAGTACGTGGGCGGGCCGGCGCGACAGACCCGAGTGCCCGCGCGGTGGATATAGAGAGGAGCGCGCTCTCGCGAAGACGAGCACAAGGGGGGACAGGGCGGCGAGTGTGGATCTGGAGACTGTGCAGTTCCGGCTGTGGAAGATGATGGATGCGGGCGCGTCCCGCATTCGTTATGTCGTGTATCCAGGACGCCAGATGACGAATCAGTCTGTCCCGTGGTTTTTTCGGGGTGGCGTTTCCGTTCTGTTTCAAGTTCGGGGCGGAGATGCCGGACCTGCCTGAGCGGCAGGAGAATGCGCGCCATCGACGCGGCCCAGCAGCGCCCCCCGCGTGGAATTGGCCTTGTGGGCGCGCGTCATGACGCGTCGGGTTGAGTTGCAATTTCGGCGCGAGTGGAGATTTGGTTTTACGGTGTCGTCGGTTTTGTTTCAAATTTCTGCGAACATGGCGCAGTCCGCGCGACTGGCGGACCATCGGAAGGACGGGCAGACGGAGCGTCAGCATTCGCAAGGTGAATTGGAGAGGGCGGCCGCGAGCATCGTCGATGTTTGCGCGGCACGCACATGGATCCGTCAACCGGGGAGTCCGCGAACGCGCGCGGGGATTTCTCGAAATTGACGCACGTGCAGTCGCTCGACCCAATAACGAAGCAAATGGCTGCAGGGACCAGCGCCGTCGCTCGCAAGATTGAAGGAGCGAACGAGGTGCCGACGCTCGTCAGGCACGACATCCATGCGGCGCGAATTGCGCATGGGGTGCTTTTATGTTTCACCACGTCACCGGACGAGAGACACAACCTGGCGATGTTACGGCTATCGCGGTCGCAGGAAAAGCACCCCGTGAATCGTCGTGCGGCGCGGGCGTTCCATGGCCCTACGCACGGGGGGCCGCGGGGGCCTTCGCATGGGCACGCGGGAGAAGTATCAGGAGTAGTGGGCCTCGCATTTGAAACACTTTGGCCATGTGGCACTGTCCGAGGCGCCCAGGTTGCGAGCGCGCGGACTCGCATGGCACCAACGCAACGGCGGCGGGCGGGTGTTCGGGTCGCGTGGACGGAGTGCACGGTAGTTTTGAGGGTCAGTAATCGGTTGGAAGTTTGGGCTTGCACGCGCAAGTCTTTGTTTAATGTTTGCACCTGCGCGCCTCTTCGCATGAGCTTATGCAGCTGCCGACAGACGTGCTCCTGGGACTGGTAGACGAGCACAAGAGGTACAACAGAAACGCGAGTCGCCAGGAGTACGCAGACGCTGACAGATGGAGGGGGAGGAGACCGGAGGTGGAGAAGGCGGCGCCGGAATACATACGCAACGGTCAGACGAATGGATTGGGAGAGGCGGAAGGAGGCGGATGCAAACCAACGAGCGGCATTGCCAAAGGCGCACTAAAGCTTGTTCCTGCGCACGACGTGGCTGATGCGCAGTGGTCTTGTGCCGCGGTTTTTGGAAAGCGCGTGACATGCCCCGAGCAGGCAGTAGAAACATGACAGGTTGCTTGCACGGGCCCGTTAAGGAGGAGAACCTGAACGGCGCGCTCCCAGCGATGCTGAGAGGCGCGGTAGGGTTGAACTTCAACAGCGATCTGCAGATCCCACACAGGTTCCCTGTGACGGAAGCCACGCACGATAGTTGCGCGCGCGAAGAGCGGCGCTGGGAAACGGATCGGCCCATAGACGCGGTGCTGGCAGCGCAGCGAGCACAGAATGCTGCGACGGGGATACGTGGCTGACTATCACTGCAAACGGCGCGCCCCGTCGTTCAACGAGTTGAGGGAGATCAAAACGGGCCACCGCGCGCTGGCGGAGCAGACGAAGAACATAACCGCTTCGCACCGAGCGAACAGGCACATGAAAAGGTTTCTCAGTGACATGCACGGGAGAGGCGCAGTGCGGTCAGCGCAGGAAAGTGCGAGCCTGCGCGCGCAGAGACCCGAGAGGCGTTACCAGTACCGAGAGTATCAATACTGTGAAACAGCCGTGATTCCGGGGGCAGAAGCAGCGCGGACGGCGGAGTGGCTCTGCGCACACGGGGGCGGCGCGGCCGTAGCAGCGTCGGGGATTTTTGAAGCGGGTAAATGAGAGGGGCCCAAAAAAGGTTCGAATGTTATTTAAGAGTCTTGTGTATTTCTATGGCATTCGCCCGATTGGCGATCCGGGGGCGCCCGACTTGGCGCATGTGTCGCTGTGCGAGTTGTTTTCGATACTGGCGCGTAGAGCTGGCAGCATTTCCTCGCAGCGGAGCGGAGATGTCGGCTGCCGCCAGCAATGGGCACCAGGCGGAGCTAACGCTGTCTGGGACTCAGAAGGTCCTCGAGGCAGACGAGGAGAAAGCGGAGGCTGGCGAGGGCGGGGCGCAGATGGGGGCCCAGTTGACAGCAGGCGTAGATTATGTGGTCAAGGACGGTGGGAGTTTTTCGTGGGTACCGTTCCAGGATGTTCCAGAGATGGAAACTCCGAGGCGCGCGCGGGTGGCGGCGCAGAACGAGCCCCCCTGGGACCCGAGTTCCCATGGGGCGCCGCAGCCGAAGCAGACGGGGGGGGATAATAGGAACGGGCTCCTGTTGATGGTGTATTTCCGGGCGTTCGCGCTGTGAGTGGCGACGTCAGTTGCGGAGCGCCGCGCCCGCGGGATTCCCGCGGAGCGCAAGGGTCGTGGGCGGAGGCGTCGTTGGAGTGGTTAAAGAAAAGCATGCCATGTGAAGAGACGAAGAGGCACGCGCAGAATTACGCGCGCGTCGTGGACTCGCGGCCAGCTACGGACGAAGACCTCGCGAAGCACGAGGGCGGGCTGCACGGCGACGAAGAGTTGGACCCGAGAATTGTCGATGCGGAGAAAAGGCGGAAGACGCGCGTGGGGGGCGCGCCCATGGGGAGATGACAAGCGGACCAACGCAGTTGCGGAGTGCGAGGAAAAAAAAAGTCGGGGGGCCATGGCAAGGGGCGACGCCGCGGGGCGAGGGCAAGAGATGCAAGAGCGGAACGCGCAAGAAGCACGGAGGGGACGGCGCGTTGAAGGGGGGCGCTGCGGCAGCGCAGAGAGCGCAGGCGGCGGCCGCGGCGTCGAGAGCCGCAGACGCCAGCGGCGCGGGTGAAGCGGAGGGTGCCCCAGGCGCGGTTGTGGGAAAAACGGCAATGGCGCCCAGCATGCGGAAGTGGAGATAGGGGCATGGGGATGGCGGCCTGAGCGCGGGTCAGCGCAGTGACGTTGAGAAGGTGACAGATCGGGCGTTGGCCCAGGAATTTGGGAGTTCGCCGAGGGGCAAGAAAACACACACACAAAAGTCGTTATGATATTCAGCCCCTCGCGTGGGCATTGCATGGCGGTTCAGGGGCGGGGGAGAGTTCTGTCAGAGACAAAATCCGGAATTGTTCGAGAAGAGATGGGGCGGTCGCGCGGCATCGACTTCCAGGCGGCGGCATCGCAGGCCACAAGCGCGGCAGCGCTCGAAGGGAACACAGTGCACAGTGCACTTGGGACCGGCGCGAACAAAACGAGGGGGCCACAAGTGGGGGGCGATGGGGGCGGGGCGCAGAGCTCAGCAAAAAGACGGAGAAGGAAATGGCCGCGCAGAGAATGTCTCAATGGAAATGGTTGGTAGTGGACGAGGTGAGCATGGTCAGCACGAACTTCTTAGCAGAACTTGACTCGC